CATACTCCATATGCATACTGTACATACTCAAAATATGGTGTAGAAGAAAGTCTTTCTGAAGTAACCATGACCAAATGGCCTCACACAAAGTTTTTCAAATGAATCATTCAACAGTGCAACAGGAAAGCTGACATCTCCACATGCATTTCTTATGAAAGTATAACTATTTCATTGCCTCAGCTCAGAGCACCTTTCAGTGGGCCACTTCTCTTCTGAAAGGGAACAAGACAATCTGAAAATTCTATTATTCTTTCCATGAGGCGTTAGCCATACCTCTGATCGGGGGAACTGCTTGCATTCAAGGGGACACAGACCTGTAAAAGACTTGACTTTACGCACGCTAACTGCGCAAAGTGAGAGATTTATTCATTAGACACTCACGCATGGACACATTTGAGCAAAGGAAAGCCAGAGATGATGCCTCAGGGGCAGGCAAACGTTCAGTGTCTTGGCATTGCTGAAGGAGTGGTCATTCAGGGGACACGAACCCTCCACTTATGAAGTCACATATGGGACTTCAAGATCAAATCACAAGTGATATTTTGTCAACTTAAACAGTCAAGACTTCCTTTGGATGAGCCCTGATTCTGATGCATGCCTCAGCTCTCGCATGCTATTACTGGAGTCCACTGATCCTCTTTTTAAGAAAACAAATAAACAAGTTTCAATATAATCACACGCCTCACCCACAGCAGCAACACTTGCACATAAATGAGTACTTACAGTGCTGTGCAAAAGTCTTTACATTTTGCTTTAATGGAGTCAGACTTTCTTGTACTTTTTAAAGCTGTCTTGAGCAACAGTTCTCCAGGCTTTCAGATCGTCTTTCAAAGTGTTTACAGCCATCTGTAAAACATGCTGTGTAATGGTTTGGGGCTGTATTTTGGGGAATTATCTTTGGACTATTTAAAACATTTTGGCCTTTTTAAAAGTATTGAGATAGTTTAGTCTGGAATAAAGTAGAAAATGGAGCAGGTCACCAACAATGCAACCTCAAAAACCTAAAGTTCTACCAATGGGAAAGGCAGTTGCCACAGATGTTAATATCCAGGTCTGCATTCAAAATGTAGACCACAGAAACCACTGGGCAATGCCACGGTGGATATATCCATCTTTTATATACAGTCTATGTATTAGTGAGCATTTTAAAACACGTGGAAGAATATACACACCCTCAATTACAGAACTACTTCTTGTACTCAAAGACAGTCCGGCATACAAAAATGAGCATATATAATGATTCAAAACACAGCTAGTAAACAGTTTTTTTGGCATATAAAATATTAATTTTGAAATTTTTTAAATGTCAAGTTCTATCTACAAATTAGCAAGTGTTAAATATCCCAATTCTTTGATTTTTGGGCTGAAGGAAGAACAACACTCGGTGTATAAATGCTCAATCAACAATCTCTTAATTCCATACAACACTTTGAAGATTACAAACGTCCAGACGGGAGACGTGGACAGGAGGGTGTCCTTCAGATCTCAAAGTGTCTAACCGTTTCTCACATTCTTATAGCTTCAGCCCCCCTCCAAAGTCATAAAACCTAAACATCCACATTCTTTCTCTCTTAGTGAGCCTAAGTTATGACCTTGGCTTCCTGTGCAGTATGTTCTGTTCTTTCTAATCAGACAAATAAGGCCATGATTCTCTGAAAACAGTATTTCTTATAAATCAGCAGTCATCATAAAACAGTGTAATGATTTCACAATCTTTATTCCAAGGCATAATGTGGCCTGTAGCCATATAATGATTCAACAATTCTTTGATTGGAAGTATAAGGTGGTATATGATAGTAGAATAATCTCACACAAGAAAACAGGACTGTTCAGGAAAAGGAAAGAAAACACCAATTATGTATAAACTAGCTCTACGCTGCTGATTATTTGACACAATGCTTGTGGATCTATTTTTTAACTGACTGATTACTGATCACAGCTGGGACCAGGCTCCTCACACTTTGCTTTTGAATAGATCCATCCCCACAATAGCCTCAACTCTTTGAAAAAGATAAATAAATACAATTGTGAAACTTTTTCTTTCTTCTAAGTGAAATCATCTTGATCCTGAGCACACAGCCAAAAATAACCCAGTGCTGTTGTTTTCTCTTCTCCCCCCCAGCCTTCGTATGTGCACGTCTACAATTCTTGTCTGCTCCTGTCAGCTTAAGGGAAGAGCCCGTTGCATTAGTGTTGCCATGGCAACAGGGCAGTAGAGGATCTCTAAGGTCAGAGCAAGAGCACCTGAAGCTTAGCTGATGGGAGAAAAGAGGCTGTCAGTGAACACTCATGTTGTTATTGGACATTTTATTACTGCTGCTTCCTCCTGCCTGACACTGACATGATAAATTGTCCCAAGACACGTGTTGTTAATCATTTCTGGGATAACACAAGAAATAAAACCAGGGGTTCTGCTCCTGCATCAGATGATGGAGAGTGGAATAGGTCTTGATAAAGAGGGGGCAGAGATATTTAAAGAGAAGGGAGAAGAGATTTTCGATGCTGGAAAGTGGATTACATCCATTATTTAGCAATGGTTTCCTCTTCTGTGAGGGGACAGGGAAGAGAAATGTGTTTGCAGGATACAAACTCCAGCCCTCTGTATTCTGTAGAAATACTAAATAACACATGCTTCTCTAATAGGGAAAAATGTCGGCATCCAATGAAAACAATGCAAATCATATCTAATAGCCTGCATTAAATATACTCAAATGAATATTTGCAACTTGGATTTTTGCACTTACTAAAAAGTGAGCTGAAGAATTTCCATGTAATGCTTCCACACTAGTGCACATCCCATAAATGTAGCTATGCAAAAACAGTTTCAGATCATTGCATCAAAAGGAGTGGAATGCATTGAGGCTCCCTTGAATTGCACAGAAACTGGGCCAGAAAAAAGCTCTGATATGTTACCGTTTGATCACGATGCTTTAACTCTGTTTCACATTTCCTCTTATGAGCTGCACAGATTGTGTCCACAGGGTAATCTTGAATGCACATTTTTGAACATATGGCATTAAGTACCTTGGCATGTGCTGCAGGAAAAAGCACAAACTTCATATGATGCAAGCTCAGAAAATCTTAAATTCTCCCCATATTTGTGTAAACATACAGTTGGCTCCATAACATTTCTTTTTCCTGGCCCATCTGTTTTTTTCAACAGCAAAGTGGGCTTAAAAGCAAACGATCAATGCGACTGAAGTGCAGACTTTTAGCTTGAGTTCAAGGGGCTTGCAAACAAACTGGAACGACAGCCATTTCAAAAGTGAGCTCTAAAGCGATGGGACGATTGACTGACAAGGGGTTTCATAGACAGGTGAGGCCTGCTGCTGCCATTTCATTTCATAGAGTTGATTCCAAGTCTTACATTTTGTAACTCTCAAAACGAGATTCAAAGTGAGGCTGACGCAAGAGACCGAATAAAGATAAATTTGGAATCGCAAAAATGGACGACAGAAGACAACTGAAGCAGATGACTGCAAATTCTTTCCTCGGTAAAGAAAATCATTCATAACTTTTGGAACACTCAGAGAGGCATATCACTGTAAAAGAGACACCTTCGGAAATTGGAATACAGAGTTTCATCTAAAAACAAGCTTTGGACAGATGAAACCACATGATGGGAAATAGTGGGAGGAAAACCGTATGGAGAAGGAAAAGAACACATCATGATCTGAAACATATCACATTATCTGTCAAACAAGGTGGAGGCTGTGCGGGCATGTGTGCCTGCCAGTGGAGCCGGGTGACTAGTGTTTTTTCCTGACTGTTGACAGCAGCAAGTAGCAGGAGGAATTCTGAAGTTGCTCAGATTCATCCAAATGCTGTGAAAAAGAACAACGGACGTTGCTTCACAGTGCAGATGGGTAGTAATCCAAAGCATACTGCAAAAACAATCCAAGACTTTCTCAAGGCAAAGAAACGGGATATTATTCAACTGCCAAGTCTGCCTTTACTACAGCCACCTTCAGCCTGAGGGAGGAAACACTTGGTGACATCTATGAGTTTTAGACTTGAAGGATTTATCATTAAAAACAATCAGATTTATTTTCTGTTTATTACCACAATTACCTTTGAGGCCTTTGAAAAGTTGGTGAAAATTCCTTTTTTCTTTTCTTTTTGTAAATTAAAGCTGAAGTCAGTTCAAATTAAAACCACTGTGGTGCGACACAAATTTACAAAAGAAAAAAAAAAAAAAGGTGTCATTGTCCTAATGTGTAGGGACAAAACTGTATGACCATCTCATGCCTTAAATTAGATTATGAAGAAGGTAGATATGAGAGGTCGTCCCAATTTCTTATTGCTGAATGTTAGGAAATGTTAAAGAGGTTAAAATGCACTTGTGTATCTTTCAGGGTTTTTTTTTTTTTTTTTTTTTAATTGCTGTGGTGAAATATATTGTGCATTGGTATTTACCGCTCACCCAGGGTGACTACTTGGTTTTATCTAATCTCCACATTGTTTGTCCCAGCATCACCACCTTCCTTCTGCCGTCACCGTCCTGAAATAGACACGCAGCATCCCCGCTGTTTGTTCTGTATCAAATGACGAATCTTGCAACCACAAGAGTGGATGGAGGAGGAAGGGGAAGGACCGTAGAGGGCGATGGGAGAAAGAGGGCACTAAAAAGGCACAAATCAAAGTAAGCTGTGAAAAGGAGTGAAGGAACATTTTTAAGATCGTCCTTTTGGGCTTTGATGTTGGGGAAAGGACAGAAGCTCTTTGCTTTACTTTTCTTCAAAGGCTTTATCTATATGCATGCACTTTTGGCAGGGCTGAGATAACAATGTTAGTCTCCCCACTGTTTTGTTTTCTGCTTGGCAAAATGAGAGCTCAAAAAAAACAAAAAAACAACAAAAAAAAAGCTGTTAGTGTACATCTTTCTTCCCATCCAATATCTGCATTTTTTTGTATTACTTAAGCAGGTCAATCCATCCCAGAATGACTCCAATGGCAATAACAAAGGAGAAAGAAGCTAAAACAACTGTTCATTTGTTGAATATATTATTTTATTTTAACATCATCATCATAGTTTAACTTTTTCATTTTCCCTTCCTTCATTTAAAATGATCACCTCTGAATGTACACATACTGCAAACTGTCAAAAATATACAAACAAATGCAGGCTTGTGCTATAGTCTGGTCAAATGTCTAAAAAACAGTGGCACTGGAAGGAGAGAGAGTACGAAGGCAAGAGAGAGAGAGACGGAGAGAGAGAGCGAGCGAGAGAGAGAGAGAGAGAGAGACAGACATTGAAACCGGTAAAGACATGCACAGCATCATTGTGAGCACCTGTTATGGTGACCCAGGTGCGCAGTACTTCCAAGGGATCTTTGTGGAAAAGTACATACATTTCATCATCTGACAGTGGGGCACACAAACTGCCCTCCACATATCAAACCCGAAACAAAAATGTTGTTTGTTAATGGAACTGTTGTTAGGCACATCATTGTTTTTTATGGTTTTATATTTTCTGGAAAAGTCTGAGTATCTGTAAATGTAGAATACTTTAACAAAACAAAGAAACAAACAAAAAAACCCCCCAAAAACAAAATGAGAAAACAAAGAAAATCAAATATACCATTTTTTTAAAAAAAAGAGGAAAAAAAAACAGCTTTCAAAACTACGACCTTGTTAGTAACTCAGTGTTGTTACAGTGTGTGTGTGTGTGTGTGTGTGTGTCAGCATGTCTACACAAGTTGGGTGCGTTTCTGTAGAACAAAGTGGTAGTGATGGTGAGTATTTGAGGTGTTTTGTGGATGGTTGCTGTGATCAGCTGGCAGCTGTCCAATCAGATGCTCAGGTCTTTGGGATTCTCCTTGTAGGTCTTCTTGGGCTCAGGGAGCGTGGGCTTGGATGAGCGACTGGTGTTGGTCTTGTTCTTGAGCGTGCTGTAGTATTGCGTCACTTGAGCCGCCACAAAATTGTCATCGTCCTCTTCATCCTCCGAGTCGTCCCTTCTGAAGCTCCTGATCGGGGATATGTCTCGTCCGAGACTGCGGGAGCGGTACAAAGGTTCAGGGGTGCTGTCTCGGCTGGGGTAGCGCTCATCCCTGTCAAACCTCTCAGTCGAACGACCGCTCAGCTGTGTGCTGTCAAACCTCTCGGTCGAACGACCGCTCAGCTGTGTGCTGTCAAACCTCTCAGTCGAACGACCCCTCAGCAGCGAGCTGTACTTCTTGTAAGCTGAATCTGAATCTGGAGTGCGTACTCTGGGCAGGGTGATGTCTCTCTGGTTGCGAGACGCCATGTCCTTCAGCAGGTTATCGCCCCCTCTGTAGGACCTGTCCAAGGTAGAGGCTTTCATCAGCAGGCTATCTTCTCCATAGAGGCGGTCTTCCCTGCGCAGTGGCGGTGTGACCTCCCTGTTTAAGCGGTCTAGGGCTGGGGACTCTCGCAAGATGCTGTCTTCCAGACGGAAGGTGGATTCAGGAGTTTTGATTGGCTCCTTCAATACAGGCTCATCCACAATAGGCTTCTCGGTGCTGCGGGTCTGTCTCTCTGGGGAGCGATACCGGCGGTAGGGGTCTGAGGATTGGGCCCGGCGTCTGGTGGGGGACTGCTGCCGAGTGCGGTAGGGGGACCGATGGCGGTGAGGGGAACGGCGAGGAGAGCGGTAGGGCGAGCGACGGGGTGAGCGGTGGGGCGAGCGGTTGGGTGAACGGTGGCGGCGGTGGCGCCTGTCTGGAGAACGGCCTCGGCGCTGACCCCCATATCGGTCGTCCAGGACGTTATCTGCACTGCGCGACCGGGTGTGCCCCTTATGAGGTGACCGATGGCGGCTACGGTGGCGATGGCGGCCATCACTTTTCTTGTCATCTTTCTTCTTGGGAGTGTTCTTCCCTGTCGACTTTTTGCCCTTGTGTTTTCCCGTGCTGGTTTTCTTGCTGGGGGAGTGGTGGCGGTGGTTGGAATGTGTGTGCCTGCCAGTGCCGTGGGAGCGGCGGCCTGGCTCCTTCTTGCTGCGGGATGATTGTTGGGGTTCTGGTGGGTCGCTTGACTCTGATGGTGCACCGTTCGGGGGAAGAGTGTTCACTTCCGCAGCGTTTTGTACCCCTGAGGCTGGGTTGGCTGCGCTGATGTCGTTGGTGCTGTCGTCTGCAACACATTGGGACATACAAACGAGGGCAGGGGGATCAAACATGCATCGACACACTAAAAGCTTCTATCTGCTTTCACATTTATCATGCTGAGTCACTCAGACATGAAGCCGAGAACACTTTCAATGGAAGCCATTCTGATGTTAATACCAGCAAAGATGGCAAGTTGTTAGATGGCACAGCAGCAGCCAATGGTAAAACAGTGTAGCTTACACAGATTAAAAAAGGCAGTGACAGAGTTATGAAGCAGCCATTTCTTGAAGAAACCCACAACAAACCTGCTCCTTGGTCTAAAGGGGGAAGTCACCTCTGTGAAGCAGAACGGGACGGCTTCTCTGGTGGCTGGACCGGAGGCTGGTTACAGTCAGTGTAACTGCTGCTTCATACTGATGATGCTGCTAGATTTGACTCATTAGCCATGCTCTTTCATGTACTGTCAGGACACGTTGTAAATCTTTAGAACAAATTAAATGGTCGTGATGAGATCCAGAGACTAGAAGTTGCTCTAAGTGCATTGCAGTTGCAGCGGGTGAAGTTTAGCATTTTGCTAAGAAAAAACAGAACTGTATGGAGTGCTTCCTCTTGCTAAATCTTCAACAAAAGCTGCGACAACAATGCTTTGATCAATATGGCATTTTTAAGACAAAACTTTACAAGTGCTGAGATGGCAGAAGAACCATTCGCTCTTCTAAATACTTCACATCGTCGGCCCTGAGATATAATGAGTGGGAGTAAAACTCTGGCTCCTGTCAATTGAGTAAATAGTCTCCACCTGTAGATATACACTTTTTAACATTATAGCTTAGTTTGAAAATGTACTGCAAATGATTCTGGAGACCTTCAACAATGGATCATGGACAACTCGAGGAGAAGAGTTGACTCCCAAAGAGAACCACTGGTCTGAAAGTAAAACTAATTCCCAAAGATAAAATAATCTCCATTTTCACTTTTGACTTGTTTCCAACAGGTTGACTGCAACTAGGACATGAATGAAGTATCCAAAAGAACGGCTATGGCAGCGGTGACACTGGAGATGTAGTTGGGTGAATGGATTTGTATGCATGAAGCAGCGCACAGGCACGGTTGAACTGAAGCGACACCACGCACATCAGGACATAGAAGAAGAGAGAGAGGAAGACAGGAAGTGGGAGAGAGAGCCGAGATGAGAGGGGAGGACAGCTACAAACCGTGGTCTGATTTTGGAGGACAGAGGCCTCCCCCATCTTGTCATTTCTCATACATGCAGTGAGATGGGGAGCGACCATCCCTGAAGGAAGACAAGAGCCCAGCAGAATACGAGAGGAAAGGGAAGATACACAGAAACAGAAAGGAAAGAAAAAAGGAAGAGCACAGTAGTTTAGAAAAATATGGAACCAACTAGAAGGAAGAAAAGGAGAATTATTCAGTGTTGATTCTTAATGAAAAAAAATGTGTTTATTTGATCATCGACTCATTCAGAATAAAGAGACAGTCCAGGAAGTTGCCAAAAACCCAGTGAAGACCATCAGTTACAGAGTAAAGTCCCCCGGAAACAAGCGTACACACATCGGACATAAGAGTTGCCACACCCACCCACACACAAGCGCACTCACACGCCTAGACACGTTAATGAAGAAGCAGCAGAAAATCAAAAAAATGAAACAGTGAGACTGGTGCACACACACACACACACACACACAGACGCGCACACACACCAGCAAATTAAGCAGTTTTACAGTGCTGATAGAAATCAAAAGAAATACTGGCGAGACTGTCAAAGGTTGTGCCAACTAAAAAAAATAAAATAATAAAAATAAAGATTTTTCAAAAGTACAAACAATGATCCAAAATATACAAGTTCACATGATGTCACATCGGTGCAGGTTTTGACAGCACATTCTCAGCTCAAATAAACTTTACATTGATGAACTTTTCAAAACAGGCAAATGTATCCACTCAAAAAAAAAAAGCAACAAAATGAAAAAGAAAACATTTAAAATGACTTGTGACTATCAAAACTAATCAATACGATTAGAAAAACAAAAGGAAAACAGAAAAGAAAGAAATGTTCCATAAATATTATGGAAAGTAGACAATAGAAGGGGAAAAAAACCAAAAAACAATTTACACTTTTGACATGTTCATGCAGCAATAAACTTTTATCCATTAATATGTGGCTTTGATTCATGGCTCTGTACACTGAACAAAAATACTTGTAAAAATGCCTCTTTTTTTTTTTTTAAATCATCACTATAAAAAGTTAATATAACTGGAACGAATCAACGTCTTTTTAAACGGGGATGGGTGGAGTCCCTATCTTCACAGCTTTTCCATAACACTGACAGTGGGTGCAAAAAAAAAGTCCATGGATGAGTGAGTAATGTCAAGCACAGTACAGTGAGATTTACTGAAAATGGCAAAGTGGGGAAAAAAAAGCCTTAGACTGTCTTTTTCTTCGCAACACAGTTCTCACTTAGAAAGGAGTTCAGTAGCTTACATTCACCTTCAATAAATATCATAAATATGTTTGTCACATCCTATCCAAAGCTGTGAAAGGTCCCATTTTATCACGGGATGCCACGGATCAAGTTTTCTCTTCCTTTTAATGCTAAATTAGCATGTAATGAGAAATGAGAGACATCCATATTACTTCTCACCCACAAGAAACATTGATTTTCTTTCCTTTTTCTTTACTACTCAGGTCAAACCCTGTAAACAGTTTCCTTTTTTTTTTTTCCCATGTAGCACTGAAAATCAGACCCACCACCTTCCTGTAAAGTCCCAGCAGAGTGCTTTTGCTCAGTGCCCAGAAGGTGAAAAGTGACAGCGAGATGACATGACAAAACTGAGAGCAGGTGACAGCAGGAGGGGGTGAGAGCACCCACAGGAGCAGCCTCGACCCCCCCCGCTCTCCCACGAAATCCCAAAAAAGCCCAGGAGTGACCGCCACCACAAAGAGACCAAAAGCGCGAAGCAACACCCCCAACCCCCCTGACTCCCCTCTCCCATCCCTGGTAGGTTTGCTCCAGGGAGGGGTGAAGGATCCTTGGGGAGGGGGAGCGATTTAGTTCCTTCACCTTCAACCCACCACCATCCGCTTGAGTGTCCCCTGGCTCAGGGTGTGAAGATGGGCGAGAAGGGAATGTTTTCGTAGATTGACCCACCATATTCAGGCACAGAGCCGTCACCCCTCTTGAGCACCAGATGGACTCGCCGGCCTCCATTCTTGATGAGCTCGATGGCTCGCGCGTGCTTCATGCCCTTGGTGCTCTCGCCGTTGATCTCCAAGATTTCGTCGCCGACCTAGTGGGAAGGAGACCGGGGGGGGGGGGGGACAAGAGTGACAGATGAAAATGGAAAAGAGAAGAGGTGAATCAGAGGGAAAGGTGAGAGACAGCAGGAGCCCAAATAAGGAGAGGAGACCGCAGAGCCAGACGCGGTGCAAAAGAAAACAAGTGAGAGGAGGGAAGAAGGTACACAAGGAGAAAGAGAAGGTTCAAAGGGAAACAATGACACGAAGGGAAGGGTGGAGGGGGTGAGGAGGAGTTAATTATCAAATCTGCTGAATGGTAATCTGCACAATAAGAAAACAAGAGTATATATGGAGGGCAAACTGCATCAAAAAGCAGCAACCGTGACACGGAGAGTCAGAGAGGGAGAACGACAGAAAAAAAAACAAAAACCGAGAACTAGAAGAAACATTTTTGCTTCCTGATTCTTTGAATCCACTCCTCAGGTTATCTGTCAGTGCTGACTGCGTTAAGGGAATACTTCTCTGGCAGAATACAGATCTCTCGCTGACACCTCTCCCTGCCTCACAGAGCTGCGACTATTAATATCTCTGCTAACAAGGTGCACAAACACCAACGGCCGGGTCCATATATGCATATACTAATGTGCTAACGAATGTGCGCGCGCGCGCACACACACACACACACACACACACACACACGCTCCCACACACTCCCTAACTGCAGCATATTAATATATATGAAAAACTATATCTCAGATTCAAACAGTGTCTGCCAACAGGCTCCCTGCGTGCAAACGCACAGTGAGAGAATAAATAAAAAACACCTCACACTTCATCAAGCACTCCGGGGAAAGTGCTATTATTTATGTACAATTAATCAGACGGAAAGGTTAAATATTGCAGTTTCATCACAGCTTTTGTGGCATGTATGAATGCCACTTTACAAGCTTGTCGTGAAACATAAATTAAAATGTGCATATTCTGTTTGTGTGTCTTAATATTACAATCAGTGAACCGTCTGCATGGCCGAGCCCGGAGGTGACTGTTTGCGAGTCAGTGAAGCATGGCTTGCAGTAATTGGGGGTACATTATGCAAAAGCAATTATACTGATAAATAATATTATTGTGATGGCTGTAAGGTCTACAAGGCTGCCATCAACCCCCCCAGCTAATCAATAAAGTCAACTGGCTTGTGCTGCACCTGAAGGCAAGGATTTATAAAATTATAATTGGTATTTATAACAACGGTTACAATCAGCAGTCGTTTTTCAGATATGCTGTTATGTGCACCCCCGTCCAAAGATAATTTTATAGCGTTCAGGCAAGCTGACGGATTAAGGGATGAGAAAATTTGACAAATAGTTAAATTAAACATTCATTTTAAAAACACTCTGGATTACTAAGGAAAAAAAAACCCGGAAAGAGACGTAATTTTTCATAGCTAAATTGCAGAGCTAATGTCTCGCACAGCTCCACCAAAAATAATGAAGTCCGACCATTTCTCATTAACATTACAATTATTCCACTAGAACGCTTTTTTCAGATGATTTCAAACTATGCTGACAAATGCCAAGACGACTATATTACAGAAAATTAACTAAAACAACCGAGGGAACTGTCCGCCGTTATTTCCAGACAATCTGTTGGGTGTTTCCAAAGAAAGCAGGCTGTTAAAAAATAAAACTTATTTGGAGGTATTCTAGCTACTGAGGGAATATTGGCATCCCTGTTGACACAGCTGCATATAACCTTAAATTGATCAAATTACATCACAGTTTTCCATAATTAAGTATAATATTAAAGGGGTACAAGCAGTGGTTACATTTCAATAGGCTGTCCAACATTTCCTGTAAAACAGCTCCATGTTATGTGGCTGCAAAAAAGGCTGTCTGTCATAAATTTGTATGGTCTAAATATGAGCACAGACGACGAGATTGCAGTGTTACTTGGGTAAGTGCTGTTTTTCCAGCACTAGTTCTTATGATGGTCAAACTAAACTTCAGTGTTTGGTGGCGTGACCCTTTCAAGACCCCTAGAAAACAACCTCTGAGCTTCTGTGTTTCCCATTTGTGTGTCCATACCATCATCTTTCCGTTGCGAACAGCTGCTCCGTCCTCGGCTAACCTCAGCACGTACAGGTCCATGTTGTACTCGCGGCCTCCTCGCAGGCTGAAGCCGAAGCCTTTGTTGTCTCGCTCCAGGTCCACGGAGTAGAACTCAGAATCCTGATGGAGACAGACGCCATGTGTGGAGGGAGAGGGAGGGAGAGGAGAAAGGAGATGTTTGCATCAAAGTCACCTTTGTGATTCAGGTTTCAAGTGTGCGCGTGTGTCTGCGTTTGTGCGCGCTTGTGTGTGCGTGTCTCCTTTGAAGGGGGATCCTATTTCAGAAGCAAGGGACAATTGCCACCTTCAGGCAAGTCTCATCTTAACAGTTTGTGCTACGCTTTTCCCCTTCGTGTGTGCGTGCGTGCGTGTGTGTGTGTGTGTGTGACTGTGTGTGGACATGCATATGCTCAGGTGTAAGGACGCTGAATTATTGATGCCGTGGGCCCTGGCCTGAAAAAGTAGAGAGGGCGCAGACGAAGAGAGAGAAGGAGGTCTGGGAACCACACAAGGACGGGCAGACAGCCTCAGCAGCTCCTGTCTTTACGCCCTCCTAATCTCCTCTGCTGGAGAATCAATGCTATCTGTGAAAGCCATCTCCACACCAGCAGATTAATTCAGCGGTGAACAGAGTGGACTGAGGGGCTACTTTGAAAGCAAACAGGCTTTCCTTAATATGCACACTCAGATAACGCCAGAAGGTCGGCGTAAAGAGATAAATAAATAAAAATGCACTTGGTTTGTCCTTGGGAAGGTAAGTGGGTATATTAGTTGATAGATGGAGGGACAGGGGAGGGGATGAATGACTGTTTAGATATGGCGAAACAGCTGAATGGATGTATGAAGAGACAAATGTAGATTAGATGTGGGTAGAAAAGTTGATGGAGTGTAGAGGACCGGCGTGTTTTGATGGAGACATGAAATGGATGGGTGTCCGCATGACTGATGTAACTGCTAAGACTGCGGCGCCTCTCTTCCTCACCTGAGTGCTTGGGGGTTGCTGCGTGGGGGGCTGGGGAGGGGCGGCTTGCGGGGCAAATGACTCCTGTTTTGGTTTAGTGTTGGTCCTGAAACAGAAAAAGCGTGAAATATGAGGCCTAAGCAAGGGGTCGCTCCAAAAGACATTTCATTATTAGGCAAGTCTGTTTTCTGCCGTGCTCCTCACCTGGCCTCCGGTGCGGCCTGCTGCTGAGCGGTGTGGGTAGTGGTTATAGTGGCGATCTTCTCTGCATTCGTCAACAGAGATGCGTTCGATGATTCTGCGGAAGGCGGAAGAAGAGCAAGTATATTGTCACATGAGATAACACACAAAACAAAAACAAAGAACAAGAATGATTGTGTTTTTCAACCAATGAGGAGACAGGGGGGGGGAAAGGCTTGTAATTGAATATGCTGTCATTTTGTATAGACATGCTCTAACAGAAGCTTCTCCAGTTTCCTTGAAAGCCTGGGCGACATAATTAAATTTCACATTGTTTTCCTTGTGTCATTTGTGCCCAAATGCACTAGAGGGTCCACCACGAGGCTCGAAACCAGTTTCTAGCCTTCTTTCACCACTTAGCCATGTTCCCGGACACTTGGGTAATACTGCGGTTTGTGCCATCAATCATTTGGTAAACGTCCAAAGGCTGTACATCACATTTAGGACTGAAACGAATCCTTTCTGCCTCTGAATTGTCAAGTAGGGAACATCTACGCCAGTGGCATTAGAGCTCGTGCTTACTCTGTCTTTTATCTCTGCACTGATCCACTCATTTTCAGTTATCAGTGAAAAACACCAGACAGGCGGTCATCACGCGACACCTGCTGCATAAAGAAACCTTTGTTTTATCTAACGACCTCATCCTTCTTGGCCATCTACAGGCATCCTACATTCGATTACAACTCTGCACCTCCCCTTCCCCAGTCTGCTACTCGCCATTCTTCTCATGGTCACTTCCCTTCTCACCTATTAATCTCCTTTCCCTCCGGCGCTCTCCTGGAGCCTGGTGGCTCAACCACTCCTTTGCCCGCTGCTCAAGATCTACAGTGTCGACCACTCGAGCGGGAGTGCGGGTGAGGTGAGCTTCGCTTGAGACGGCAAAGAGGGGAACCACAAGGAAAACCTTTGACCACTCTTCCAGTTTTGCAGTCTCACGTTTAACTCCTGTAAAAACACTATCACCATCTTTCCCTCTGCCTGATTTGCATGAATCACTTCCTTTTTTTGTCGCCTCTCGACTGCTTTCTCTCCGGATATTACTTCTATTCTGCGTGCGACCTACTGCCTGCTTTCCCCTTTCTCGCTTAACTAAATAAATAAGTAAATAAAACCTGCACAGAAAAGGAACTGAAGCGTTTCTGTAATTCGTCTGTGGCTTTGACCACACATTTGCCCTCCAGCCCTGAAAGGCGTGAGCTGGGAAGGACAGCGGGTACAATCAATTCAAGGGAGGTAAAGAAAACAAGCACTACAGAGGGTAAAAGGATACAACAGCTACAGATTACACGTAAAATACAATATGTGCTAACAATAAAAATCATATCACATACAGCATGTCTAGCTCTCTTTTCTCACACAGTGGAAAGAATGAGGGCTTTGTTTGCGCTCCAAATTTATGCTGCAGAGACATCAGCTCTGATGAAGGTATTAGTTTCTTGTACACGTATTACTGAGCAGCAGCAGGAAGACTCCCATGCTCGTTTCCTCGACACTGCAGGCGTACCGAGCATCAGCTACTACAAAACTCCATCTGTGCTCTCACACGGTGGGAGAGTTGAGCTGAATCAGACTTCACCTTTAGAGGAAGCTCTCGCTATGGCGCTTGTTTCCATCAGAAAGCTTAAAGATTGGACTGATCCACAAAGAAATTGGCGATGCTCAGCCATTTGTAAACGGAGGCAGCCAGAACAGTCATTCAGAGGCACAAGTTTAGAAACACAAGCCACCATCTCTGTCCGACACTCTTTCTGTCTCTGTGTCAGACGGCGTCTGGTTGTTTGACACATGCACATAAAAGCATATCCAGTTATTCCTCGCCAGCGCCTTCTCTCTTGCTTTATCTGTGTCTTCTTGGCAGAGCAATTTTGGCTCACTGTTCTCATCAACTGCTCTGAAGGGAGAAACAAAAAAGCCTCTCCATCCATAAGAAGCGAGGCGGAAAGCAACGAGCGGCGGACAAATAGCTCCTATTCCTACCAGTGTGCAGGTTGTCGGGGAGTATTGCCTTTCCATGTGCACACACGCACACACGCTTAATTAAATAGCATTTGTGAAGCACGCCAGGGTGATATGTCAGCACAAAGCACAGACAGTTCTCAGCTGCACAGCGCAACATACAATGCACACAAACTTTTCCTTAAATCCACTTTGACAGAGGAGACACACCCACATGCACAGAGGAAATTCAGCATCTCTCGGTGCCTGTCTCGCTCACCCTCTCTCCACTCACGCACACATACACACCGAAACCTAAATGGCTCTTGCATGTTTTAAAAATGCGGGCACGCCAAAGGCAGGAACGCAAAAGCTAAAAAATACCAAAAAAAAAAAAAAAAAACCCAGCAACCTCCCAAATATCCCCAAAGAATCACTCCTGTCAACACTGCGGAGGCGTTATAGTCACTTTGAAAGCCACTGAAGAAAGTGCAGACTTTACATAACGCCGAAGGAATACTTAATAACAACAACAACAACCCAGGAAAGTGAGAACAAGTCTCCTCAAACATAATCAGGCTATCTAATAATAGCTGATATGGGGAAAAAATTCGGACCTGGTTTTGGATTCGCTTTTCTCTACTCACCATCTCCAGGAATGATGCGTAGTGTAACTGTGTTTCCAGCCTCCTTGATGAGGTTGACGATGTCCGAGTGGGACTTGTTGGTGATCGAGCATCCATTCACAGCCAGGATGCGGTCGCCGACTTTCAACTTCCCGCAGCGGTCTGCTGGGCTTCCCTCAATGATGCGTCCTATTTTGTGGGGCATGGCCACACAAGCATTTCCAGCTATGGTCAGCATCGATGTGGATGTGTAATGCATGCGTGATTGAGTGTGTGTTTGCGCGTGTAAATGTTGGGGGATTGTGTTTGGTGAGAGGAGGGAAACGGGAGGGAAAAGTGGGGAAAGGAGCAGAAGAAGAGGACCAAGAAGGGTTAAGGTTAATTGACCCGCAGCCAACAGTCAGCCAAGCAAAAGTCACTGAGAAGAAGAAGAGGATAATATGCAAGCACTGGAAAAGAAGGGTCAATTTAAATGTGCACTGCAAAGAAATAGGAGGATTTGTCTTACTATTTTCTCTAAATAGTTTTTCCGAACGATTCTCAACGTCTAAAAAACTCTTGTTAAGCTAGAGCTCTGTTTCATCTACATCCCAAACACCTGCAACTGCAGAAAGTTAGACTCTGCAAACATACATCAGAGCTGACATCTCACCAGCTACCCTGAAGTCTCTCTGTTTGTTTCACTCTGCAGGCCGACATCAGTCACTACAGACTGACGCCCCCAATCACTCATTACTCTCGCCACCCTCTCCCCTCCTTACTTTTCATTATTATTCTTCCATCCATCCCGCTGCATTCACACTTTTAATACACAACAAACTCATCTGATCCCAACCCGTTTCTGTCCCCCTGAATAAACCTAACCATCTAGGACTGTGAAATATCAAGAGCAGCAGAGAGATAAATCTTCCTTTACACGTTAACTGAAATGAAAGCTCATCTACTAGCCTATGCTTTCTGCTTTGGCCTGTGAAAAGGAGCTTCACTTTAAAAAAAAGAAGAAGAAAAAAAGCCAATCTGTAAAGCTAAGCGTTCACAGACCTTTCCAGTGCTGTACACCCACACAGGGAGAGAAGAGCATGGTGCAATGTCCTTCTAGTGTAGGTAGGAAGCCATAGCAGCTGGCAAAAAAACGTACATGGAGTACGAATAGAAAAGATGCAGTGCTACGAGTTTGTAAAAGCAACGCTGAATCTGATTTACTTGCGTTGCTGTGCAATATCAAACGGAGAAAAACGACACCATTCACCAGCTAAGCAATGAAAAAGAACCTCACAAAAAAGAAGAGAAAAGAAGATAAAGTTTGAGTAAGCGAATATCTCTAATCATACGCTGGAAAATAAATAGAACCCATTCACGTTGATCATTTCCCCTATTTATCTTTCTTGCAGTGCTCATTCTCATTAAACTGCTATTAGGATTTTAGTGCCAACCTGCTCCGCACAAGCCATTTAAGTTCAGCTGAATAATACAAGTGGCTTTATGTAAGACCTACTTCACTTGTGATCAATTATGAAAGCCTTATGTGAGTGTGAGCAGCAGCTGCAGGCAAAGAAAGGGTTTCAGTGTCTTGGTTTGACAGGCTCAGATGAAAATGAGAAAGAAGAACCACTTCTTTGAAGAGTGTTGATATTGATCTGGTGGGACTGTAAATAGCCAGACTGTGCACTGGCTGTCAGGCTATTTAGCGTTCAGTGGTTTTTATAGAGGATTCAAAGGATTCCCGTAGTGCAGACGAGAAGATAAAAGGCCCGGTGATGAGGCAAAAGCCAAAGTGTGATTCGGGTTTTTGCTGAGTAGAAGTGATTTTTGAAAAAACAGCATGTGCCGCCATCAACTGTGCGCTGGTGGTGGCGTTTGCGGGTGCTCGCGCTTACCGAAGGTGGTGCCAGCTTCCGGCCTCGACACCGACGAGACGATGACGAAACCGAATCCTTCGTTCTCGCCGCGGCGGATCTCTACGTCGTAGGGCTGCAAAGCGGACGAGACGACAGTGGGGGTGGCGATGGGCGGCTGAGAGGAGGTGGTGGCGGCCGCAGCGGCGACCACGGCACTGCCGCCGCCCCCGCCGCCCACTCCGCCTCCTCCACCGCTGCCGATGCCAGAGGTGGAGCCGCTGCCGGAGCTCACTGTGTTGAGGGAGTTCTGGCTGCCCTGTGGGGTGCGCTTCCCAATATCTTCTGTGAGACTGGGCGCCTGGGTGCTGCTGTGGTGCGAAGACGCCGGCGATGGAGGCATGTCTCCCTCTGCTTTAACTAAAAACGGCAGGAGGAGGAGGATATGGTGAGAAAGATGCATAGATGAGGTGCAAAGTGCAAACAGGAGGGTAAGAAAAACACAGATATAGAAGATTAACAGTAAAAGATCACAAGGGAAGTGAAACCAATGGTGAGACATCAGGAGACAATCATGTACAAAACAGAGTGAGAACCTAATGTAATGAAAGCAAAGCTGTACAAAAACATATGAGAACATCCCTAAACGTTACGTGAGCAGTACAATATTAAAGGAGGCAAATAACAGATATTTAGCTCCTCTAGCACACCTAGTTTATCTTATGATTAAAAAAAAAGGACAGCTTTGGAAGAAGGCCTCTTCACCAATCTCTCCTCTCATCTGTTTCCAACAAAAGATGAACCGAGGACGTGGTCTGCCTGCTCTATCTGGACATTTCATTCCACATTTCATTTCCTGTACAGCTGCTCAAGGAAGGCGCCTCATATTCTCGACGCTCTGAGGCAGACAGTGAGCAGCAATGCACTAATGTCTGGCTGCTGTCATTGGGCCGAAGGTTGGCCACCCTCTCCATCATATTTATGGGCCTTTTTTTTTTTTTAAAGGAGCAGAGCTGTGTTGACCGGAGTGAAGTCAGCAGTGGGGCGTGGGCGTTAGCTCGTGGTAGCGGCTGACCACTTCCACACCCACACTAAATTCTAGAAGGGCGAAAGGCTGACCTTAGATATATATTAAGAAGGCCTCTGGGCTCCTGATGGAAGTATGACTGACATAAACGTGGCTGTTGGTAAAGCAGGGAGTGCATTTCTAAAACTGAACAATGTTTTACTGTAAGCAAAGCTGCAAAAATCGAATATAAATGAAGCCATCTCAGACTGCTCTCAAAACTGATTCAATACACATTAAAATTCACTGACATGTTATCAGTGAATACACTATATGTAAACAAACTGATCAGTTAGAGATATTTATACTTTTTGCAATTTATAAAACAAAACAAAAAATTATGGTTCTGCTAATTCTGAATCCTGCATAAAGGAATCTAAATAGAGAAACAAATGATGGTCATTTTTGGACTATTGGTCAACAAAGCTACTAGCTTAACTTGAAACTACTTGAAATTGGATCCTGACTGTTTATAATAGGATGAAATTAACTGACTTAATAAAACATGTTCTGATTGGTTGCACTGTGGACGGATATACCTGGTTGTGTTTTGCAGTACACTTTAAAAGTTCTGCAGTATTATTTGTCACTGTTATTTGAAGTAAAATCAGTAGAATTCAATAATAAATGGACTGCCACATTCTTACGGTGCTATTTTCTATCCATCTGTGTATTTTCACAGAACCACATATTGGTGGATGATGTATCAGAATCAGTTTTCCTTTCAGCATCTTACAGACACTTTGCTATGTGGACTGGAGTAAATGACCTACTCTACGTCCTGAGCCACAATAACCTGAGTGTATTCTTGGACTTCAGTAAAAACCTTCTCTTGGACCTCTTAGGAGGTCTTTAAAAAGCTTAAACTACTCCTCCATCTCGAGCTGCTTGCTTCTTACCAGCGTAAGTGGTTTTGCGCCGCACTGTGAGGTTGACATGGCCCTGCTTGGCAGCCTGCTGCATCAGCTGGACCACCAGTTGGTGCGACTTTCCCACCACCGCCGTTCCATCCACGCATATCAGCTCATCACCGGATCGCAGGCGTCCATCTTCATCTGCAGCCCCGTACTTGACTATGTGGCCAATGTAGATCTGAAACGCACCAGACGAATGAGGTTGCCGTGCATTCGAAAGCACGCGTCGACAAAGACTGCGCAGCTATACGTTACGCCGCACCGTTGCGAAATAAATGCATGGAAAGCGATCAAGCGGTATTCTAAAAAGAAAAAGTATGACATTAAAGTGCATGACATATAAAAATGTGTCGATTTTCTCAGCGGCCATAAACTTGGCATGCTGCACAGCTACAATTTAAACTTCAGCATTAAATCTTTATTATTCTCTCAAGCCTGTAACAGTAGTAACCCAAGCCAAGCTCTAAAGTAAATCATTATTTTTTTTCCCCCCTTCAAGAAAAGCAGGAAGGGGGCGCAGTGCAGGCTAGTGTAAACAAGAACAAACAACTTTGACTCTTTAAAGGAAAAGAAAAAAAGAAATGGTGTGTGTGCAGGGTTTTTTTTTCTTCCCTGACTGGTTAAGGCTACATTGGTCAGATCAGAGAGAAGCAATCACAGATATGAAATTGCTGAATTCCAATACACAAGCATGGAAACGCACACAAGGGGAAGATAAGAACTGTTGTGTTAAGACTGTCGAAAGAAAATCCTATAGCTGCTGCTCCCACTAGTGCTGGGAATATAGCATCCTTTTCATCATTCAAGCTACACAATCTTGTCAGTTTATCCATTTCTTTGGAGATGTACGGTGAAAAGTGAGGAAATTGAAACGCAAACTGGAGAGATTTCAGCCGTGAGATTGAAAAAGATTGAGGAAGAGAGACTCACAGGCTCTCCTGGCTCGTTGCCTCCGAGGATCCTGAAGCCGAACCCCGTGTCCTTCCTCCACAGGAAAATGTCCTGCTCCTGGAAGTCTGGAACTGTGAAATCGACAAGCTGCCATAAACACTTATGCACAAGCACAGTCGGCCTTGTGGGATCTCTATTCCTGCACCGTGATGCCTTCAGACATTTCATTTAATACCCCAAGGTACACAATAAGCCAACCACAGTGGGATCATAATGGATACACCTGCTGTTCTGAGACAATCAGATATGTTTATTTATGTCAGCATGTAAATACTGTCATCATTTGTGCTCAAAGCTTTGTCACTGTGGTAGTACGCTGCACAAAGACAGTAAAAACAAACAAAACAAAACAAAAAAACGAGCCATCAACAGATAAAAAGGATCTATTTTGGGCCAAGAGTATAATTTTAGAGCTGAAACAAACTGAAAAGACAGGCTGAGAAAAAAAGATATCGGTGTCCATTGTTCCCATAATTAGAAACGATCAGACTATAATTCCCTTCTGATCATTTCAGAGCATAGTTTCACTTTCTCGCAGCTTTTTGAGACAACCTTAGAGATGTTCAAATGGGCTACAGTGTTTCTCTTGTGAGGTGATGTGTGACACGCGATGCATCATTTGGCTATGCTGGAGTGCACCTTCCACCTGACCCCCCCACCCTGAGTATGGCTAGTCACAGCACACTCGTAGCCACGAGGCAACCGTGTGCGTACGCTAGTAACTCGAAAGGTGTCGCGATACAAAAGAGGCATCGCACCGCAGCGAGTGACAGCTCATGGTTAATGTAGCAGGGGAGACTGAAGCGAGCTCAGAGCCCAGAGGACAGGAGGAGATGATTTGCATGCGTGTGGCCTTATCCCATTGTACATAGGAGCTTCTTTGCTTTAAATACGCGGCTTTGAATCCCCATATGAGTACGTGTGCATGCATTTCCATAGGCGCAGATGTGCTATGTGTGCAGACAAACATCTCTCAGGGAGATTTCCTTTTTTGCTCCAGCTGAAGCTGCTGCTGCCAAGGCCGCTAAAACCACTAAGAGAGGGTGGGGTGGCAGAAAGCATAAGCAGTGTGCTTCCAATCTGCTCCTTCAGTCAACACTTAAAATCCCCACGGAGCGCAGCTATCTCTTCCAATCTATCACAGGGTTACTGTGGAGGAACCGGAGGAGGAAAGAGTCAAAGGCTAACTGTCGCAATCTGCACCCGCACTCAGGAAGGTCAACTGCACACGCTGCTCCTGCCCATTAATAGACCCATAAGTGATCCCCACTGTGAGGCAACTGGGCATGAACGGATCAATATTTTCCCAAGATAGACGGCCCTATTCAAAGCTGTGAGTGATGATGTTACAAAAAAGGAGATAATATTTTTTTAAAAAAAACCCAAAATAATCATAATGAAGCCCAACAAAAGCACGAGCAAGCTTCCTCCGCTTTTACAGCAGGCTAATGCTGTGCGAGATTTTGGGACGTTTTCTTCCTGCAAATGGAAATCACTCCCTGCACGGTAAGTTTAAAGACCTTGATCTCGACAGAGTTTTTCATTATAGTGAATGCTGCGTGGAAAAATGTCTCTGCCCAATTCAAGGCCTGAGCCCTATGGAGAGAGCTCAATGAAGCGTGAGGAAGTGGAGGTTTTACACCTGCTGTTCCTCCCGTGCTGTTCAAGGTGTTTCTCCTTGTGACGCTATACCTCAGAATGCTCAGCTTTCTCTTATATTTCTCTTTACATCCCCTTCAAATGTTTTGATCAACTGTCCTATTATTATTTTTTGTTTTTGCTTTTCTAACTTTTTACCAGATCAAACTGGCTGGGCAATTTAGAAATCCCCAATTGGGATGTCATCATATGAGGGCGGGTATGTAGACAACATCCATCCCGCCCTTGGTTGTGGATTCTTTCAATCCATTTCTATTATTGTTATTCATTTATTTATTACAAAATCAAATACTATTGACTCTCAACTAATCATGGCAGCTTTCCAACAGGTGTCTGAACCACTGCCTACACTCAGCCCGTCATTTTTAATTCTTCTTCATAGCCATCTAAATAATGAAAATCCTCAACAAGTGCGCCTGGAAAACGGATTAGATCTTTAAAAAAATAAATAAATGAAAGAATAAAAAGCCTTTGCGGATTTCTCTCTTTCTGCTATTTTTTCTTTTCTCTCTCTCTCTCTCTTTTTTTTAAACTTGACAATGAATATGATGGTTATTCTTTTTAATTAGTGCAATCCCCTTGCTTTGCCAAGGCGGGGGGTGGGGAGATTTACAATCTGCCAACATCTACTCCACTCTTGTACTAATTATACACCATGTGCCTCTTAAGGGAAGTCTAAAATAAAAGTGTGTCAGTGGTGCTGTTGTCTGGCACTGGGTGAAAGCGGCAACTAGTAATTTTAAAAGGACACAATCAACAACACACTGGAGGCCTATATGTCTACAGCTAGTAACAAAGTAACAACGTAGCATGCTAGCTCTTTTGGGAAATACTATTACTATTCAGTTTCTTGTGGAGTCTCAATTTCAAAGATTGACACCACTTTGATAGCTGAATGCTAAATGTAAAAGAAAAGCCAATTAGCTTAGCTTGGGAAAAAAAAACCAAGAAGATGCTTGCCATGGCTATGCCAGAAAAAAAAAATACATGTACCTGTAGCCATAAAGCTAGATTCTAGTAATTTTACAAGACAGCCTATATACAAACAAATGTAAACGGCTTTCTTTATTAGCTAGGCTCCTCATCTACCATCACTGACATCTATCTGCAGTTTTCCTTCAAGGCAGTGACGGAGTACATGTGAAAATATGTAGGTGAATTTATTTTACATTCGACAATGTCCTCCCAATGTAAGGTTTATGCCCTAAATTAACAGTACTGATGAATATAAATAAAGATTTTGGAAGTTTTATTTATTTTGCTGTAATGGTAAATCCACCACCATACACAAGCTCTTTTATCTAAACCAGCAGTGGAGAACTCCAGGCCTCAAGGACCGGTGTCTTGCAGGTTTTAGATCTCGCCCTGGGTCAGCACACCTGAATCAAATGATTAGTTCATTACCAGGCCTCGGGAGAACTTCAAGACATGTTGAGGAGGTAATTTAGCCATTTAAATTATTTGCGTTGGATCAAGGACAGGTCTAAAACCTGCAGGACACAGGCCCTCGAGGCCTGGAGTTTGACACCCCTGATCTAAACCATATATTTAACCTCCTAGGACCTGGCATCCACATATGTGGACATCACATTTTGGGTTATTTAGACCAAAATACTCAATTTTGCTCTACAAGGGCCTGATATCCACTTACGAGGACATTATACTGCTACTGCTCTATCGAAATTTTAAACGAATATCCTCATATGTGGATCTCATTTTACTTAGAAACAAAAATTAGGTATAAAAAAAAATCTGGTAATTCTTTGTTTTTACATTCATCAGGTCCCAATCAGCCCAAATATCAAAGAGAAATTAAAAATGCATGCTGTGGAAGAGTTCGGGTCTCAGGAGGTTAATGCCAAGTGCTTTAAATTCAATATTTTACATTAAAAAAAAGCTGAAAAAAATAGCAAAGCTCAATTATGGTCATTAATTTGCATCCCTGAACAGAAGATCAGACTTTTAAAAAAAAATGTATATATCATTTCTGACTTCTCTGTGAAGTCCAGTGTGCCAGCTCAAATTTGGGTATAAGAATATGAATTCAATTTGTCATTTGCCTAATAAATAACAACAACAAACAAATTTATTTGACAGACTCCTACAATATTTATGTTTTATTGTTTTATCACAGGCGGTATAATATATTTGTTAATCACTCTATGTGTAGTGAGGCATTTGAGTGCAAGCCAGTCTTTAGTAAAACATAGATCAATAAATATAAATATCTGACCCAGCTTACTTACAAGCACAAAACGTTCCCCAAAATGAGCAGTACCACCAAGACACCAAGGGTCTGCACCGAGCCAATACCCCATGCTGCCCTCATCCAACCGCCACCAGAAATGAATATACTTACGCCTACTTTCATACATGCTCCTGGACTGGGCCCAAATCTTAAAGGGGTCCGGTTTTCTCTGGATGGTCCCGTCTCCTGGGGAGTCCTGGATTGGGAGTCCCGGCAAAGGCTGTGAGGGAGGTGGGGGCGCGTTGCTCTCACTGAGAGCGGGTGCCAGGGAAGAGTGCACAGGCGAGTCTGTGTGCGCGCTCCGGTGGCTGGAAACACTATGCTGGGAGCTGTTCTGGCTGTCCTTTCTTGACAACTGCTGTTGGAGAAGCAGATCAATATCATTTGACTGTTTCAAATCTTCTGCACAGGAGCATGGAAGCTGAACTCAAAAATGACTGACAGGAGGAGACAAAAACATTCAAAAAAAAAAACACTTGCAAAAAGAAAAATGCTTCCTCAAAGATGACTGACAGGAGGAGACAAACATTCAAAAAAAAAAAAAAGAAGGTTATTGCATCGTCAACAGCGGAATAGAAAATATGAATCTGGGTTGTGGTTTGTGAGAGGAGGAACAGGGACAGCGGAGACGTGAATACAGAGCAATTCTGAATTAGAGTTCAAAAAGATTAAACATGGCTTCTCCTTGGGGTGAAAGGAAGCACACTCTAAGAGTATAATGTCAACCATTGTCATGTTGCTCCCTTATTTAACACAAAGAATAATCAAGCTGTTTTATGCAGAGAATTCTTTTAAAGCTAACAAAGAAGGAGAAAAAAAAAAAAAAGAGGACCTCAATGGTTTCTCATGATTAAGTCATTCAGCTATGGGAGAAAACACTGTGGAACTTACAAGAGTACATTGCCTATTCCTTTTGTTTAACAGAGTGGAATGTATTAACAAGGAGCTGCATTCCCTGCTGTATATGGAGGGATAGTCACAATGAATAAAGCACTCCAGGGGTTTAAAAAGAAGAGAGGACTTTACTGGTGAAGGTAGAAATGTAAAACTGCTTATAAATTGCCACTCGCCCCTCAATAACGTGCGCACTTAAGCATCTGTTCGAGGATTCAAGCTGAGTAAACCTCACAATCCCGAGCTCAGGCACAAGTGCGCTGCGAGTATCGGTAAAGATCCCGTTTGTCATCCTTGTCACAGCATCTCTCCTTTGCAAGCACCACATCGTCACCATTGGTCTGCAAAATCTCCACTGCTGCGAAGAAGCCAGAGACGTGAAAGGGTTACGGGGCAGAGCTCGGGAAAGAAAGGCCGATATTTAAGACGGTAAGCGAAAATGACAGCAGTTCAGTCTCTTCACGTCACGTGACTGCACATTACTTTGGACGGCGAGGACAAAAATATACCAGGAAAGGGTGGAGGCAAGTGGCTCGTCTGTTCTCAAATATCAAAGTGTTTGGCCTTCAAAGTGCAGTCATGTCTTCACACTCATTACTCGCTGAATCACTCTCCTACACCTCTGCAATTCATGTTTATATTCATCATCCTTGTTAGACATAAAATAAGCTTGATGCTTTAGCAAATATTAAGTCGGGGCTGTGGCTCCAGCTGGAATGCTTACTCTGCTGGTGCTGCAAAGAACCTCGCTGGGTTTTGTGGTGTACTTTAAAAAAAAGAAAAATCAATAGAGTCATATACTTAATCAGAAATGCGGGTCGTGTTGATGCTAAAGTCAGACCTGAGGACTGATGCTCAAAAAAACCAAACAAACAAAAAAAAAAAAACCCCAGGCCAACCAATCTGTATTTTGTTCTTGTTGTTTGATGCACAGAAAGTCCAAATGCGATCCCCCTCTTAAATGAAAACAAATCTCCTATACTTGATGAATCTATTAGATTTTGACCTTCTGCAGTCATTGCGTGGTTCCTCGGTGGCCTGCGAGTAGTTTAATACATGAGTTTGTGCTGCTCCAATAACTTATTAAAGAGACAGAAGATGGGAAGCGAGAGGCATTGGTAGGTGGGGCAATGAAAGCAAATCCTCGCTGCTTCCCAAGACTCAGCTCAGTCCTGCTTAACGTGACGCATCACTGGTTTAGCACACATACAACTTCTTAACATAACATGCATTTAAAAAGCATACCCATCACCTCGATTATCTGCTATAGAAATCCCATTATAATCATATACCCAGCATTAATATCATCACACATCCCAACTATTTTCTTCCCTAGCTAACTGAAATCACATAGGGTGGTCTCTATATGTAGAAGCCAGTGGAAAATCATCCTGCAAAACTATTCTATATTATACTATACTATTACTGTACTACTGTACTTTCACTCAGACACAGCTAATAGTGACTTGATGTTTTGGCACTGGCAACTTTTCCATCACCTCTGTTACGCTTTCAAGAACACCATCACCATTACCTAACTAGCACCACCATACATGACATCAATCTCCCACCAAAATTCTGTACTGTATCTAAATTATATCACATACCCTTCTAGAGTAATCGTTGTATGGAGGAGCCATCGCAAAATCATCCTGGAAAAAAAAATAATGATAAAAAAAAATGAAAATTGCAAAAAGCTCCTGAAATATGTGCAGAAAGTGGTTTAGGCATTGTCTCAACAAGACATCAGATGGATAGCAGCTTCTTGGGTCGACAATCTGTTTATATTATACTCTACCCCGATATAAGGGCAAATTCTGGCTTTTAAAACAGCACACTTATAACTTGAATGATGGTCCCTATCTTATTAAGCCTTAAGGACAAGGCATCTAAAACAAATGGAACATTTTAGCTCTGTCCTGCTATGGCACCAATAGTTTTTCTGCAGCACCCAATCAGCCTCAGATATCCAAACATGTTAAAAACATTATGATTTTTCACATTTATCAGTGGGAAGTTGTTCATCAGCTCTATTATCTGCTGTAAGAATTCAATCACTGTTATCAACCCATCACCGTTATCCAAACCGGTCATTCCCAAAACCTTCACCTTCTCTAAACAAAGATCACATACCCTCCTTCCATAAGCTCTGTACCGAGGATCCATCTCAAAATCATCCTGCAAAACAAAATTGGCAATCACAGATTGAGTCTACAAAGTGCTTTAATAATCAAAGTTCTAAACTTCGAGCATTTTAGCCTCATACACTAAACGCAATATTAAACATTATGTAATGCTAAAATGATCATTGGCACCTTTTTCATTGTGTCATTTATCAGCCTAGGCTTATCAAACCAACACCAATATCACAACTTATTTCTAAAGCCTTCACCCCATCTGAACAATATCACATACCCTCCTACTGTTATCTGTGTATGAAGATTCCACATCAAAATCATCCTGCAAAACAAAACAAAGTTTAGCTCCTTGACTCTTTATTGAAACCTCTTGATCTTGTAATATGTGCAGAATTTGGTTTAGCATTTGAAGGGCATCATAAAACGCAATGTTAAATATTATGCTAAATATTATGTAAGGTGGGAC